TGCGACCCCGATGGGGCTTACAGCACGGTTTCCTCGTTCAGTTGTTTGGTGGGATGTCGATGTACTAATAGGAAGGTTGGGGTGTTGTTGCCAGCATCCTAAGGCTCCCTATCGATAGAGTCGCCCTGCCCAGCCCTCAACGCAGGGTGCAGAAGAGGGTAGGGTGTGCAACCGCATCCACGATTTTTCGGCGCTAAGAGGTTAACCTCTCAATACACATGTCAGCCTACACTTGAGTGTCAAATGCAACCCTCGATAAAATAGAGGGTCGCGTGGTCATGGGTACCACATAACACGCCACCATATTGCTGTTCACACTCTCATGCATGACTGGCTGCTATTATGCCACCCACGCTGTCGTGCTACTTATGCAGAACCGCATGGGTGGCGGCCAACTGTTCAGTCACTGAACAAGTTATGGGACGAGGTGCAGACAAGGGACTAGGTCTGAGGCATGTTTACGACCCGTGTTGCTGCAAAGACGTCGCGTGGTTAAACCGAAGGTCCTAGTCAACTGGTGTAGGGCCGCGCCTAGGAGATCAGCTTCTCATATGGCGCCCAACGCCCAAACTACGATCCCACGACACCTATACTAGCCTACCAACTAAATGATGCAACCAGGAAGCACTTCGATAGCAGCTCGATGCACATGAAGATGTTGCCCATGCAGACCTCCACACGTACACCAGGTACGCGAGTCTCTTTACTCTTTCTCTCTCTCTTTCACCCCCCCAACCTCCCACTGTTCTCTGTCCCTCGCCAAGGACCCTCATCAACCCCCATCGGCAGCAGCACGATAGGCCCAGCTATGGCCGATATGCATCACTGCTTCAAGCACCACACCTGGACAGCACCCTGCCTGATCAACCTCTCGTGGAGGCAGGGCTCACACAGCTTCTGCAAGCCAGAATGTTTTTCCTGGCCGCGAGCACTTTCCTTTATGGAAAGTGCTGGCTGCGTGGACAGCCCCTGACTGGACCTGGCTGGACGTGGCTGGTACCCAGTAGCTACATGTCCAGACCCAGGATCTGCGCCCAGGGCCCAACAGTTACCGTCGCTCAACTGTGCAACGTGGCCTTGGCTGGTTGTTGCGCTCTCATTGTAAGAGGCCATGCGTGACACGGCAGCCAGAGAGGGCCTCACCGCCCAGTAGAGAGCCCGGTCACACAGCTCAACTAGCTGCAGACCCTGAAGTTGCCCGCCAGGCTCAGGGCTACCGGTCCCCTGAGCCCGCCAGGCCATCTCCAATACTGTGAGGGTGCGGGCGCGGTCTAAATGGCCTCTGTGAGGGGTAAAATCCACGCAGAAACATATTTTCTCTCTTTTCTTTTTTTTTGAAGCATCAATTTTCAATCACAGAGGGCTTCACATACATACATGTCCGTACATTTATTTAGCACCTGAGTGCGTAGTGGCGACCCAAGTATCATAAGGAATACGTGATGAGACGTCAAGGACATGTTCACAATTGCACGTCCCTGGCCGGACCTGGCCGCAATTGAGGTCAGACGCAGTGAGGAAAGTCCTACTACCATGCGTATGACATGAGAGATGAAGTGGCACACACAGGATGATTGCACAAAAGAGGGAAATTACAGAAAAGCTGCTACCTCCTCCCCACCAGGACCTTACTCCACCTCCTGAAGGAACTGGACCATGCACACATTTTACAGAACTATATTACTCTTGAACATCGAAAATATAGGTGGAACATAACACTGTACAAATTGTTGAAACTTGAAATTGATGCTCCCCAGCAAATGTCACCAAGAACTACTGAATATGGTCACATCATTGTCACTAAGAACAACCCCCCCCCTCCTCCTCCTCCTTAGTGTACCTCCCTACTCATTGCTAAGAGCGCACTCCTCCTCGTCCTACTCCTACTCCTCAGTGTCTCTCTCTGCTCATTGCTCCTCTCCCTATGATCTTCTTCCCTGTAGAAGACAATCAGATGTCATAGCTGTATCTGGCACCATTATTGCAGTATTGCAGCCATTCTCTGGCCAGATACGCCAATGAAAAGTGTCCTGCATTCTATCAGGGCAAATACAGTAGCCGTGCTGGAGCTCATTGAATCCGCCCCCTGCTACTGGGGCTCAGCACCTGCAGCTCCCATTGCCGTTCTTTTGCATGCAACTGCAGGTGATGGGGGCTTCCGCACTGTAGCTCGAGCCTTTTCCGGCTCCAGCTTTTTGCCCTTGTTCCAGCTCCAGGAACCCTTAGTGTAACTCGCCAAGAATAACCCGGTGCGTAATAGTGATGATAAACGCTCAAGCAGCACCACTGCTACAGCTGGTACCTTGTGCAGCCCCACACAACCATATCAGAGCTTGCAGAGATTGTGGCAGCTGAGAAGAATGAAGAAACACTCGGGCAGCGCCACCACTCCCTCCAGCGAGTCACTTATACATGTTGACACACCCTTAGCACAGCTTGCGAAGAATTACGGCGGATCAGAAGACTGACGAGACACCACCACTACAGCCGGTACCTTGTGCAGGACAGACGATTGAAGAAACACTCATGCAGCAGCACCATAGCTGCTACCTGCACCCTAGAGTTTCGTCATTCTTCTCGTAGGTACCCTGTGCTGCTGGTTCACAAACTCTTAGGACAGCTTAGAGAGAATTGGTCAAGGTCAGATGATGGACAGAGAAAGGCAAAAAAGGTTCAAAAACCACTCTAATGGCCTGGAGAGGCATCTCCAGAATGCGAAAGGACAAAAATAGCCCACTGAAGTTGGGAAATCCAGAGACTACCCCAGGCTGCTGACAATCTGCTTGGCGCTCTGCATTACAGATCATGCACATGGGCTACCTAGTAGTAGTCTTGGGATTTCCAAACTCAAAAGGGCTGATTCCAGCCTGCAACGAGCCGGAATGTAGGAACACGAATGATCGAAACCAAATAGCGGCCTCTATGTCCTGTACAGAAAGAGAAAAGGAAAAAATGACATACCGGTTTCATTCGCCGGAAAGTACCTGCGCCCCCTAGACACGTCATCTATGGCACAAGGTTATACGAATAGCAATAAGAACAATCAGACTAGGTGGTCCTGCCACTTACGCCCCAACTTACAACTCGAGCTATTGGACCAGCCTAAGCTTTCGGCCCGGTCTCAAAGCCTGATGACCCTATAGCTGAATTCCTAACGCTGCTACCTGATTCTAAACTTAAGAGTGTATCCTTTATCCTTATCTTGCTCAGCATAGACCAAACTCCAAGTCCCCTATAGCTGAACTCCTAAGGCAGAAAGGGTGCTACCTTATTCTGAATTTTTAGAGTGTATACTTGTCCTTATCTCGTTAAGCGTAGATTAAATTCCGAGTCCATTTTCTCAATAGGCTTATTATTAAAACCAAATGACGCCGAAATAAAACTCACATAAGTATGGGGCTACGACCGGAGCTGATCCTGAGAGAGCGCTGAACGAAGGCACATTCTGAATTTGTCCCACAAGTCCATCTTGGTGCATACTGTCCGACATTTCCCGTTCCCTATGCATGGCAGCTAGAAACACCAACTTGCCCGTGCTGGTGCGACCATGTGGACATGGTGGGTATTCTTTCCAAAGTATCCAGGCAGGTCAAGCAGATGGACCCACACATTTATCTCCATGGAAGCCTCTGAACTCCTGTGGTCTGTACGTTCCTTGTGGGCGGGTACATCAAGCGACTTTGACACAGAAGTGACAGAAGAACGTACGAATAGGAGAGATGTTCCTGTGCTGCCTTTTCTGATGAGACAGCCATCCCACATCATCACTCACTGGGCCCCCGGTTGCTGAATACGGCCTTGTTCGTACAGTTATGCGCCCCCCCCCGCCCCCCTGGAGTGTCGGTGTTTACAACTCTACAGTAGGCATCGTTCACACCAACCCCTCAGCACTCTTCCATCACTCCTGCTAGGCCTTATCCTCCCTCACATGCTCTCACAGTCTTGGGATTACCTGCTTGGTTTGCCGCTGCATCACCAGGTGCACGGATTCGGACATCGCAGACCGCACTGCCCCTCTAAGATTGTGGCAGCGCAGGACTTGTCGCAATATTTGCACAAATTGGGGTAGTGCATACCCCCACAAAAGAACCCCACATTTGTCAAAGCGGGGGCAGTGTACACAACTCCGACAGACTGAAACCTGCTGATTACAAATTGACAATTCCTGGGATTCCACCAAAAACTAAAGACTCCTATGTTCGCTGTCGTAAGCAATCGCAAACAATAGTAAACAATGCTTATGCTCTTAGTTCGAGCGCCCGCGGTGCTCCTCGCATTGTCCTCAGGCCTCCTCAACTAACTGCCCCTTTCTTTCCTCTCTCTTTCGCCCCCCCCCCCCTCTTTCTCAAGACTCAGACTCTGGTTAGCCTGCTATTGCGCGATGGTGGCAAAAGATAACCTTTTTCTTACCATCTGGTTGCCTGTTTCTTTCAGTCTTCTCCTTCGCCGACTCGTCCTCCTGTTCTTCCCCTTCACTCCTACCGGTAGTCACTGTTACTCTCTCCCTTTGAGCATGGAGCATTAACCACAGGAAGCCTCCTTCAATCTTATTCTTCTCATGGTACAAAGCCCTGTTCAGATTAGAGCAGCACTGCGCATGTCTTTGCCTTTCGCTGGAAAACTTTGAATGTATAAGGCTTTGTCTGTCAAGCCTGTGTGACCAGAGGACTGGCTGTGAAGCTGTGCAAACCTCTACCTGCAAGCATGGGCCATTGTAGATGGACCAAAATCATATTTATTGGATGTACAAACCCAGGATGAAGTTCGTGGCTGGAGAAAACTTAGAATAGACTGCAGCTATAAGAAGAGAGAGACTGAGTCTACTGGTCTCTGGCTATGGTGGTGGTGCTAGATTTGATGTACAAACACTGCCCGTAAGAACCAGTCTATGCGAACCAAGTTCTTCCCTAGAAATTTGAAGTCTGACGGCAAGGAAACTCTACATCTGTGTAAGTCCTTGGCGATAGGACCGTCTATTTGAATGCCGGTTTTAATAATATCTCATCTATACTCCTTCATTGAGTATGCATGGCAGCACGGGACATGCAGCATGATGCTGTTGATGATCTACACGGCCCCTCGGGACTTGGTTTCTATTGCTTCTAGTGCACAGGGTGTCACTTGGATAACTAGGGAGGATGAAATTTTCAGTATTCTTTCATCTCTTCTGCTCTCGAAAGGCCAACTAGATCTCTTGAACAGCATGGAAAAGTCAACAAAGAATTCCATTATCAGTCATCATTTCATTTCAACAAAAGAATACCCCTTAACTGCTTTGGCGTGCAATCCATGTATCTGCATGATGTCTTGCCTCAATGCCTGTGATCTCTGGCTCTCCTATACTGGTGGTCAGCCTGATGATGTTTGCTGAAACATGGTAGCTCTTTTAGTTCAGGCGCAAGTGCATGAGAGGACCTTCCAGTCTTCCGTGGCTCATGCGACACTTCACAATTGTGTGATGCATCACACATGCTGTAAACTGAAGGACGGTTTCTTGATACTCGCAAAGACCTACTGGCGATCCCATTCGTCCCTGATAATTCTAGCTCAGTATTGTCATCCACAGGTGATCGGCTACAGCAATCTGAACCACAATCCTCGTCTAGGCAAACTGCCCATTGAATGGCTGGACTTTCTCTGTCCATGTGCCACTCCCCTGTGGCCGGAGCAGGTGTAATCTGTTGACCCCAGCTGTGCTCCCCGGAGGCCGCTGGCACAATATCTTTCTCAAGCTTGCACAGGTGATTCCTGGCTGATGCAACTGGGAGCCTCGACGCCCCTGTTGTTGGTTTGGTGTGTCTTTTGTCCTGGCGTTTCAAACTAGTAGCGGGTCGAGCCCGAGAAGCGGCCAGGACTGGTGTTCTGTGCCTGCTTGGGCCCTCTCGCAAGCTGTGCCGGTGAGCACCTGGTGCAACTGATGGCATCGACGTACTAGCCGGCCTGCCGCAATGTGTGCAAATGCTCTCCCCCCGGGTCGCATAGGCAGACCATGACCACAATGTCCCCGCCAAACTTGCAGTATTCATATCCACGCTGTGCTGCAGAGTCATTGGTGCCATTGGAGACTTCAAACTTGTTGTCAACCTGTTGTTCAGAAGGCCACGTCCTCTGGACCCGACGTCGATGATGTTCAAAATATTTCCCTTCCCCCTCCCGCTCTTCCTCTCTTGATCGCCCTCCTCCGTCGCCACAATCTCCCACACATTATCATCATCCTCCCAACCTCGTCCCTCCAGTAACCTCTTCCTGGTTCTGGCAGCAATTTCATCTGCACTGTGCTGCAGAGTGATCGGTGCCATTGGATGCTTCAAACTTGCCATCCATCTCTTGTTCACAATTCTCCATTCCCTGGACTCGGCACCAACGGCATTCAAATGACGAGTTCCCTTCTCCTTCCGGCCCTTCCTTTCCTCCCCCTCCTCCCCCTCCTCCCCC